AAAAAAAAAAAAAAAAAAAAAAAAGAGAGAAACTGAGGTAGGAGCCCAGGAGTTTGAGACCAGCCTAGGCAACATAGTGGACCTCGTCTCTACAAAAAAATAAATAAACCAGGCATAGTGGTGGCACGTACCTGTAGTCCCAGCTACTCTAGAGGCTGAGGTAGAAAGATCATCTGATCCTAGGAGGTTGAGGCTGCAGTGATCCATGATCATGTCACTGCATTCCAGCCTGGATGACGGAGTGAGACCCCTAATCAAAAAAAAAAAAAAATCTAAAAGAGAAACTGAGGCCCGAGAAATAGATGGTTTGGCTAGAATCATATAACTCCTCTAATAAAGCTGAAGTTAGAACCCTGAATTCCCAATTCTCTTGTCCATGGCTCTTTCTACAGTGAATTCTCCGACAAAGAGTTTGCTTTCTGATCCTGCTTAGGATTTGATTTGTTATTCATGTGTTCTGTGTCTGCAATGTCATATTAGTGTTGATTCTCTTAAGTACTTATTTCCCAGGGCAAAAAACTGGTTTTTTGGTGCTCTGGAATACCGTCCACACTTCTAAGATTGGAGATGATGCCATTTATAATATAATAAGCTTCCCTTCTTCTGAGAGCCCTTCATTACTCACCCCACTTATTCCTTAAAGGAAAGCCTTAGCATACATGTTATAACTTTAAGCAGCTATGTACTAGGTGCCAGGGATTCCACGATTAGTGAGAGCCCAGGAGCTCACTTTCTTTCTAGAGGAGAAAACAAACACATAATTTCAGTGCTACTTGGTTAGTGTCACTGTAGAGTTTTCAAGTTGCTTGGGGAACACAAAGAAAGAGTACATTTAGCTTTAGGAGGATGTGGTCAGGAGTGCTTCCCAGAGGATGTGGTGTGGGAGCTGAGTTGTAAGGGATGTCTGTAACCAGCCAAAATAAGAAGGAAAGGAAGGATGTTAAGGGAAGAGGGTCCTATACGTGCAGAGTCATAAGGATATGAAACCCCATGGTGTTGTGGGTTGGTGGGGGCTATAGCAGTTTGCTATTGTGGGATAGCATAAAGTGTGAAACAGAGTGCATGAGATGGCCTGAAGAGGTAGGCAGGAGTGTGGAGGCCTTTCTGAGGAGCTTGGCTTTCACCCTCGAGCAAAGAGAAGCCATTGAAGGATTAAAAGCAGCTCTGCATTTTAGATAGACAAATCATTATGGCAGTAATGTGAAAGATCTGAAAGGCACTCATTTGGAAGCAGAGAGAGCATATATAAGGATGTTGCAGTAGCTCAGGCTAGAGGCAATGAAAGTCTGAACTGTGGCCTTCCGGTAGTGGTAGGAAGGATAGTAGTAAGAAGAGGAAGTGGGGAAGTAGTTACCGGATAACTGGTGAGTGCTGGGGACTGATGTGGGGAGAAGGAAGGGAGATTCACTGAGTTTGGCAACAGGGAGTATCACTGATGGCCTGAAAGAGAGCCAGCTCAATGGTGTTGTGAAAGAAAGCCAGGTGTAATGAATGTAAGGAGGGAATGAAAAGTGAGGTAACAGAGAAGGTAGTGAAGCTTTCAACAAGTTTAGATAGGAAGACAGAGAGAATGCATAGTAATTAGAAGGGATCTGAGGTCTACTCACTACCTCTTTGAAACTCACTCTTCTGTTGGCTTCCAGTATACCCTACTCCTGGTTCTTTTCTCTTATTTCTTGGCCACCTTTGTGAGCTTCTCTTTCCCCGTGTGTCTCTTAAATATTTCTCAGGGATCCAACCATAGCCCTGGGTTGTTCTCTCTGACTGCATCTTGCCTAGTCATATTTTCAACCACCACCTATGTGTACTTGATTTCCAAATCTGTATTCCCAGCTCTGTCTGGTGTGTTTAGCTATGTGTTGGATTTCTCTATTCATATAGACTTGAGGTATTTCAAATGCAGTGTATTCAAAACTGAACTCCTCAGCTTTCCCTGCTCCAAGCCTGCTCCTGCTCTTGTGCTCTCTATCCTGATTAGTGGCAGCCTCATTCCTCTAGTCACTCAAATTACTGACCTGTGAGGGAAGCATAGCTCTTCCTTCCTTGTCCTAATGTACCTCGTCAATCGCTGAATCCTACTGTTTTGCCTCCTGTGTCTTTTCTTCCTTCTCCGTTTCTCATTGCCGTCATCATCTGTTGCCTGGACCATTGCAGTGGTTTTCCTGCCTCAGATCTCCTCCAAGTGCCCTCTTTGAAATACAGTTTATGTTCCTGCTTTAAACCCATCCTTTCCAGATGAAATCTTAGTAGTTGTTTTTTTTTTTTTTTTACTATATCCCATGAAACTCATTATGAATTGGCCTCTTCCTACCTTTCCAACTTTGACTTGCAGCTGCTCCCTTTGTCATGCTTCAGGCTCTGGCCGTACCAACTTGCCTTTAGATCCCTGCACATACTTATTTCTGTGCCTTTACTCTGATGTAAAGGCACATGCTGTACTCTGTGCTGAAATTGCCTCCAGACCCTTCTGGCCCTTCCCAACTCCAGCCCTCTGGTTAACACAAAGCCTTTCCTGACCGTTCTTCTCTATCCGTCATATTACCTTTGTACCATAACTCCCCCAAGCTAAGATAGAAGACACTGAAGTATCTCTTCTTTGTGCTGTCTTAGATACATGTTCTGGAGGAAGCTAGCCTCCTTGTCATGAAAGTGCTCCTCCATTCTGTTTCCACGATACCCCATGCGTGTGTCTACCATAGTCTATGCTTTTATTTTAATTATTTGCTTAAATATCTATCTCTTCTAGTCTGAGTTCATCAAGACAGGTTCTATGTCATACTCATTTTCACATAGTGCTTACCTCTGTGCCTAGTATATAGTGATAATTCAATAAATGCCTGTTTGTGTAATATATGGGTAAGGTGTAAGATGTAGATATCAGCTGAGCGTGATTTGGGCTTTTAAAGAGTGGTAAAGGTTTGAAGTCGTTGTCAAAGAGTGTGAGAAGGATCTGAACAAGGACTAAGAGAAGAATGAATTCTGTATTTGTCCCTTTGATTCTTTTGCATGTGCCATAAATATTTTCACATAAGTGCCTTACTTTCTTCCCTACTCATTATGTTGTGAACTGTTCTCTTCCTTTTAACATGAATATCCACCTCGGCTTCCTAGCTGAATAGTCTGTCTCTTTTGATTACAGATCCAATGGATTTGAACAGAAGCGCTTTGCCAGACTTGCCAGCAAGAAGGCAGTGGAGGAACTTGCCTACAAATGGAGTGTTGAGGATATGTAACTTTCCTGAGGCTGTGGGAGTTGCTGTAGGCCTTGGTAGTAGACACAGGGCAGGGGGACATCCAGCTATAACAGTTGTCTATGCTAATATCCAGGGCCCACAAAGACTAGGAACTGTTGGATGCCAGTTTTGACCACAGAAGAATATGTGAGACCTGATCTCTGGACTGAGGTACCTGTACTGCTCAGGTGTGGCAACACTGGCTATTGCTGGCTTTCAAAGGAAGCATTGATTTCTCAGTGTACCAGGATTTGTTCTTGGTTAGGATTTTTCTTTTTCTGTTTTTTAATAAACATACATTTATTTTTTAAAAATTATTTTCTTAACTGAGTATTCTGTTTTGGGGGAAAATATAGGCTAATATTGAACCCCTGGGGATATTGGAGATGATGATTGGATTTTTCATTAATCTAGAAAGCAATGTAAGTAAAAACTTCCTTGTGATAGATTCTTCCTTTGAAAACACAAGATTTAGTATTAAACTGATTTGAATAAACATGCAGATATTTGGAAACATGGTGTATGATAAAGGTAGCTTCACAAATTAGTGGGGAAGAGATGGATAACGAGGCTCAGAAAATTGGCTTATATGGACAAATATAAAGTTGGATCCTCATACCATATAAAACAAAAACAAACCCCAAGGCAATTAAAGACCTAAATGGAAAGTGACACAATAAAACGAATAGGAACGAAAGGTGAATATATTTGTGACCTTGGGGTAAAGGTAAATTTTTAAAATAAGATCCCAAAGCACAATCCATAAGATTTGATAGCTTTGGTTATGTCATAATTAAAGATTTCTCTTCAGCAGAGCATCCCATGGAGCTAAAGATGAGTATGGGTTAGGAGAAAATATTTGCAATGTCTATAACTGACAAGGAATTGCATATATAAGGGATTGAATAAAGAAAGAACTGAAAAACAGGAAGAAAATGACAACACAAAGTAAGACTATGTGAAAATATGAATAGATAAAATCCAAAGAGAAAACCAGAATGACTAGTAAGTATATTACCTTACTAAGTAATTAGAGAAAAGCAAATAAAAACATCGAGTTTCTACTTTATTATCTATTAGTTTGGCAAAAATAGGCAAGAGACTGAACTCTCATGGTGAATCAAAACTCATGGAAAATCTCAACTGGTGCATCCATTCTGGAGAACAAATGGGTGAAACTTTTCGAAACTATTTGGGATGCAGTCTGGGTTTTAATATCTGGGTTTTACTCTGGAGCTATATTGCCTGTATTTGAATCCCAGCTGTGTCATTTGTTACCTGTGTAACCTTTGGTAAACTGCTTAACTTCTCTGTGCCTTAGTTTTTTCATCTATGAAATAGAGGAAATAGTACTTACCTCATATGTTTATTGTAATCTTAGAACACTGCCTGGCACACATTAAGTGCTACAAAATTATTATTATTACCATTGTCATCATTATCATCATCAAGATGTCTGCCAGTGATCCCTGCCCTCTGGTATATAAGCCTTTGTGTAGTCCCCTTCCTCAGTAAATAGTATTGACCTGCATAACCAATGGGATGTGCTAGAAATATATGACTTTTGAAGCAAGGTCATAGAAGAACTTTGAAGCATCTCTTCTTTGTACTTTCTTGGATCCATGCTCTGGAGGAAGCCAGCCTCGATGTCACAAGGACACTCAAGTAGTCCTCTGGAGAGGCCCATGTGGAGAGGTACTGAGGCCTCTCACCCACAGCCAGCAACAAGTTGCCAACTATTTGGGTGAGTTGCCTTGAAGGTGGGTCTCCCAGCTCTATTCAAGTTTTCAGGTCCTTGCAGCCCTGTTCGACAACCTCATGGGGGTCCTGAGTCATAACGCCCAACTCCAAATTCTTCACCCAAGGAATCTGTGAGATAATAGGTATTTAGTACTTTTTAAAAAGCAGCTTTATTGAGATGTAATTTACATACTATACAACTCACCCACTTAAAGTGTATTATTCAGTGGTTTTTAGTATATCCCAGAGTTCTACTGCTGTCACCACAATCAATTTTGATTTTGTACTCATTAGTAATCACTCTTCACTTTTCCCCAACTTCCCCTCCCTTAGGCAACCACTAATTCCTTTCTGCCTCTATAGATTTGCCTATTCTGGACTTTCACATAGTATATGAATGGGACTATCATATAATATGTGGCCTTTTGTGTCTGGCTTTTCTCAGCATAATTTTTCAAGGTTCATCCATGTTGTAACATGTATTAACACTTCCTTCTTTTTATGGCTGAATAAATATTCCCTTGTGTGCATACACCACATGTTAGTGTCCACATTGATGTACATTTGAGTTGTTTCCACTTTTTGGCTATTACAAATAATGCTGCTATGTGCAATTCATGTATAAGTTTTTGTGTGTATGTATATTGTCATTTTTCTTGAATATATTCCTAGGAATGAAATTGCTGGGCCATGTGTAACCCCATGTTTAATTTTTTAAGGAACTGCCAAACTTCGTGCAAAGAAATGTATGAGAGTTTCGATTTCTCCACAGCCTTGCCAGGTTTGTTATTGTCTTTTTCAGACTCCTGAGGAAAGGCTGTCTACCCTCCAGCCATTTGAGCTATCCTAGTGAGTGTGAGGTGGGTGTATGTCACTATGGTTTTGATTTGCATTTTCTTAATGGCTAGTGATATCAGACTTCTTTATCTTTTGGAGACTTTTTTGTTCAAATCCTTTCCCCATTGTCATATATATATGTGTGTGTGTGTGTATACACACACACACACACACACACACACACACACATTCTTATGTAGAGTTCTTGATGTATCTTGATTATAAGTTCCTTACCAGTTATATGATTGGCAAATGTCTTCTTTTTTTTTTTTTTTTTTTTTGG